TTTTCATAGGAGATATAGTTTGCAATGGGATATTTGGTGCAAGTTCAAGTTCCTTTTCTTAAGGCTATAGGAACATCAAGATCATAAACAACAGGTGTGATATTTTCAATATTTGTAGTGACAAGAATRGAGCTCGGAGATTGATTACCTGGAGTTTCAGAATTATCCCTCGGAGTTTCAGATTGGGTCTGTGATGAGTCAGYTATCTAGTCCTCATTCGTTTGATTGAGTCTTTTTCTAGTATAAAACTTAAACTCAGGATTTGGACCAATGTGATCATYTCGTAGTAAYTCTCCCCCTGAATCAGAATTTTCTAGGCTCAAACATAAATAGAAATAAAGATAAAATAATAATTAATATTGATAACTAATTTATAGCTAATATTTACAAATAATAAACCAACATAATCGAATATAGTTTATATCTCCATATAAATGAAAATGTAGGCGATAAACCATCATTGTCGTCTTACCTCATCATGCCGTCAAGTTTACTCTTCTAAAATGTAGGGCACTCCGATGAATATGAGTGAGATTGAGTCAAATATTGCATTTGACATGTATTTAATTGAGCCAAAAATTGAAATGAAATGAAAAAATATTTCCTAATAAATTTCATCATTTGGTAGAATATATTAACAACTAAATTAGGGGATTATGGGAATAACTAATTTGGGTCCCACAATAATTTAATGTTTACAAAATCAAATTTGTAACCTTAAATATTTTACATTTAAATAAAAACCTAATTATAATAAATACAAATGTCATAACTAAGGACAACTTTGACATTTGGAAAARTTTTGAATCAAGAAATCAAGAAATCTAAAATCGTAAAATTGGTAAACATYAGAAATTTATGAAAATAAGTTTTTAATAAGTTTTTAAAATAGTGTGTCGAAGACATTATCTCACACAATTACTGCCTCGAACAAAGCCCTTGTTATTAAATGACTTTGGAGATTCTTCAACAAAAAAGACAGTCTTTGGGCTTCATTGATCGGAGCTAA